GGGGGCGGCCGGTGCCGGGGGCACCGAACGGAAGGCGGTCACGGGTGGCGGGGGAGGGCCCGCCGGCTCCGGCCGTTTCGGGGGGCGCACGGCGCCGGGGGTCCCGCCGCGCCCCCAGGGCTGCCCCGCGGGCGCGGCTCGCCTTGACCCGCTGTCCCTCCGTCCCTCCCTCCCGGCAGCGTCGGGGCTGGCGGAGATGGGGGCGCACTGGATCCACGGYCCCTCGCCGGGCAATCCCGTGTTCTGCCTGGCCTCCAGCTACGGCCTGCTGGGCCCGGAGGCCGCCCTCGAGGAGAACCAGCAGGTGGAAGCGGGGGGCCACCCCCCGATGCCCGCGGTCACCTACGGCAGCTCGGGGAAGGTGCTGAACCCTAAGGCGGTGCGCGAAGCCCGTGACCTGTTCTACGCCCTCCTGGCCTCCACCCGCGCTTTCCAGGGGTCCAAGGAGCCACCGTGGCCCAGCGTGGGCCAGTACGTGCGGGCAGAGATCGCCCGGACCATCCCCACGATGGCGGGGGGGCAGGAGGATGCGCGGCGGCTGCAGCTGGCTGTGCTCGCCGCCTGCCTCAAGCTGGAGTGCTGCATCAGCGGGACCCACAGCATGGACCTGGTGGCCCTGGAGCCCTTCGGCGAGTATGTGTCGCTGCCCGGCCTGGACTGCACCTTCCCAGGGTAAGCGCGGGGCTGCGGAGCGGGACGCCGAGGAGAGGAGCGTTCCGGGGGCTGCCCCGTGTCCAGCGCTGACTCCTCCCACAGCGGCTACAGCAGCTTGCCCGAGCGCCTGCTCTCGGATCTGCCCGAGGGCACCGTCCTGCTCAACAAGGCAGTGAGGACCATCCAGTGGCAAGGGTCCTTCCGTGAGGAAGGGGAAGATGCCAGGGTTTTCCCCGTCCGGGTGGAGTGTGAGGATGGAGATGTCTTCCTTGCCGAYCATGTCATCATCACCGTCCCGCTGGGTGAGGCCACCGACACCTTCCCTTGCCCTGCCTGTCCCCTCTGACCAGCTGGCACAGTGTGAGATGGACAGGTGGAGGGGAGGGATTGCTTAAACCCCTTCCCAGCCTCCCCTGTCCCACTGGGAAGAGGCTGGAAAGGGGTTTGGGGAGGTCGGAGCATCTTGGACCCCATTTAGGAGCCCAGCTGAAAGCTGCCCCATCACCTGCCCAATCTCGTGGCTGCAGGTTTCCTCAAGGAACGCCACCAGGAATTGTTCCAGCCTCCCCTTCCCGAACGGAAAGCAGAGGCCATTCGCCACCTGGGCTTTGGCACCAACAACAAGATCTTCCTGGAGTTCGAGCAGCCTTTCTGGGAGCCCGAGCAGCAGCTCCTGGAAGTGGTGTGGGAGGACGAGTCGCCCCTGGAGGAGCACAGCGCCGACCTCGAGGCCAACTGGTTCAGGAAGCTCATCGGATTCGTGGTGCTCCAGCCACCAGAGCAGTACGTGGGCAGGGGTTTGGGCATCCTGCAGACCTTCTCTGGRCACAGGGAGGGCAGCAGCTCTCAGCCCCACCTTCCTCCCCAGGCACGGGCACGTCCTGTGCGGCTTCATCGCGGGGAAGGAGTCGGAGCACATGGAGACGCTGAGCGACGCCGAGGTGCTCGGCGCCATGACCCACGTCCTCCGCACCATGACAGGTGACAGGCGCCTCCCCCGCCCTCCCCGCCCGCCCACAGCCCCGGGGCATTCCTCCATGCCAYCCCTGACCCCCCCTCCGCAGGGAACCCGAGCCTGCCCGCACCCAAGAGCGTGCTGCGGTCCCGCTGGCACAGCGCTCCCTACACCCGCGGCTCCTACAGCTACGTGGCCGTCGGCAGCTCGGGGGACGACATCGATGTGCTGGCACAGCCCCTGCCCGAGGACCCCCGCGACCCCCGGGTAAGSGGACAGACCCAGGGGGTGGGGACAGGCCACTCCAGGAGCACGGGGAGGTGGCACTGCTGACCCTTTCGGGGGGGATGTGGTYGTGGTCACCAACACCCAGGTCACCTGCTGAGCTCCACGGGGGTGGGGCAACCCTACTTCCATGAAACTCGTGCACAGGCGGCTCCTCCCACTTCCCAGCATCCTCACGGCACGGGGTGGGTGCCTGGGGAAGGGAAAGTGCCCGCTTCTGGATTTTTAAGGGGTCAGGCACCGCGGGGTGCTGGAGGGTGAGGCTGTTTTATTACAATCCCGCCGCATCCTGCGCTCACCCCCGCATCACCGCAGCCCCTACAGCTCCTCTTCGCCGGCGAGGCCACGCACCGCACCTTCTACTCCACCACCCACGGGGCGCTGCTGTCGGGGTGGCGAGAGGCCGAGCGGCTCAACCAGCTCTTCCAGGCGCCCGTCCCCGCGCCTCAGGCGGCAAAATAAACCCCCATGCTTTGCCCTTCAGTCTCCTTTATTGAGAAACCTTCGCGCCGRCGGCTTCTTTCTCTCCTCTCCGTGGCAGGGTGGATGCAGCGGAGGCGGTTCCGTGGAGCGGTGTTATTTAATACCAGTTGGTGCTGGAGATGATGAAGCGGGGGTCGTCCAGCGGGTCCTGCGTCGGGCCTGGCCGTGGGGAGGGCTCCGGGGCGGGCTGGGGGATGGATGAGGGAGCGGTTTGAGGCTCCGAACCGGCGGCACGGGCATTGCCGGGGCCCGCGGGGAGCACCCCACCGGGCTCGGCACGCACCGTGCCGCCGGGAGGCGCGGCCGAGCCCCSCAGAGGCGGCGGCGGCGGCGGCTCGGCCATTGCTGCGGGTGCCGCCCTTTCCTGTGGCGCCGGAAGTGTGGCGGGGCGGCCGCGCCGGGGCCATGCGGGTGTGGGCAGCGCTGCGGGCGGCGGGGACACCCCCGGCCGCCTTCCGTCAGCGCTTCGACTTCGGCGGCCGCGATGTGGCCTCGTGGTTCCCGCGGCACATGGCCAAAGGTGAGGGGCGGCAGCGCGGCGGGTCGATGTTCCCCCCGAGCGGCCGCTGCGCGCTCACCCCGCGCTGTGCTGCGTTCCGCAGGCCTGCGGCAGATGCGCCTGGCGCTGCGCCGCGCCGACTGCCTGGTGGAGGTGCACGACGCTCGGATATCCTCCACACCTGCCAGAAACCCTGTCCCTTGTCCCTCCAGACCACCCCTYGCCCCTCTCTGCCCCCGTCCCGCCCCCCTCCCGCTCCGTGCTTGCAGTCACTGTCCTTAGCGCAGCCACATCCCGCTGTCGGGCCGTAACCCCGCGCTGCAGGAGGCGCTGGGCATCCGCCCTCACGTCCTGGTGCTGAACAAGATGGACCTGGCTGACCCCCGCCGGCAGCCGGTGAGCGCCGGGCCGGGGCCGCSCTGGGGWCAGCGGTGGTGGCACYRGCAGGTGTCAGCAGCGCCTCTTCCCCGTCCCCCCAGGAGCTCTTGGAGCAGCTGAGGCAGCAGGGATGCTCACAGGTCATCTTCACYGACTGCCAGCGCGATGTCAACGTCAAGAAGGTAGTGGGGCAGCAGCCCAGCCCTGCTCCCCGGTGAGCTCCCGGCCCCGTGGAGAGCCCTGAGTGCTCCAGCTGGCTGCTCCCCTCCGGCTGTGTCTCTGCTCGGCCCCTGTCAGGCACATTCCTCTGCACAGTGCCCCCGAGTGAGCGGCTGCTGCCAGCCCAGGGGCAAAGTGACAGCCCTGTCCCCGTTTCTCTGCAGGTTGTCCCCATGGTTGCCAGGCTGGTGGCTGATGGYCCACGCTACCACAGGGCCGAGGTGAGACACGTGCACAGAGAGGCACAGAATTACAGAATGTCCTGAGTGGGAAGGGACCCACAGGGATCATCCAGTCCAGCTCCTGACCCTGCCCAGAGCCCCCAATAATCCCACCCTGTGCATCCCTAGCAGCGCTGTCCAAACATTCCTGGAGCTCTGGGAGCCTCGGGGCCGTGCCCATTCCCTGGTTCTTCATCCCCCAGTGTCCCACCACCCTCTGGGGGAAGAACATTCCTTGATCTCTAGCCTGACCCTGCCCTGACACAGCTCCAGCATTCCCTGGGTCCTGTCCCTGTCTCAGAGAGCAGAGATCAGAGCTGCCTCTCAGGAGGAGCTGCAGCCCCCAGGGAGATGTGACTTCAGTATTCTCTGCTCCGGCTGAACAAACCCCGTGACCTCAGCCAGTCATCGTGTGGCCCCTCCAGACCTTTCCCCATCCTCTTGTCCCTCCTTTGGTCACTGATAGCTTTAGATCTCTTTTGTATTGTGGTGCCCCAAAACCGCCCCCAGTGCAGAGCAGAGGGAGGGTCCCCTCAGTCTCCAGCCAAGGGATGAGGCTNAAAGTGACAGCCCTGTCCCCGTTTCTCTGCAGGTTGTCCCCATGGTTGCCAGGCTGGTGGCTGATGGTCCACGCTACCACAGGGCCGAGGTGAGATATGTGCACAGAGGGGCACAGAATCACAGGATGTCCTGAGTGGGAAGGGACCCACAGGGATCATCCAGTCCAGCTCCTGGCCCTGCCCAGAGCTCCCAATAATCCCACCCTGTGCATCCCTGGCAGCGCTGTCCAAACATTCCTGGAGCTCTGGGAGCCTCGGGGCCATGCCCATTCCCTGGTTCTTCATCCCCCAGTGTCCCACCACCCTCTGGGGGAAGAACATTCCTTGATCTCTAGCCTGACCCTGCCCTAACACAGCTCCAGCATTCCCTCAGCATTCCCTGGGTCCTGTCCCTGTCTCAGAGAGCAGAGATCAGAGCTGCCCCTCGGGAGGAGCTGCAGCCCCCAGGGAGATGTGACTTCAGTATTCTCTGCTCCGGCTGAACAAACCCCGTGACCTCAGCTAGTCATCGTGTGGCCCCTCCAGACCTTTCCCCATCCTCTTGTCCCTCCTTTGGTCACTGATAGCTTTAGATCTCTTTTGTATTGTGGTGCCCCAAAACCGCCCCCAGTGCAGAGCAGAGGGAGGGTCCCCTCAGTCTCCAGCCAAGGGATGAGGCTGCTCCCACATGTGCCAGAGGTGCTGGCAAGCACAGGGATGTCTCCTGTTGCTCCAGGGCTGGGTGGTTGGTAACCAGCTGCTCCTTGTCCGTGTCTCCCCACTCCCAGAGCTCCGAGTACAACATTCTGGTGATCGGCGTGCCCAACGTGGGCAAGTCCTCGCTCATCAACTCCCTGCGGAGGCAGCACCTCAAGAAGGGTATTTCTGCCTGGTGCCAGGACTCGGGGTGGAGGTGGGGCACAGTGTCACTTGCAACCATGACTGTGTCTGTCCCACTYAGGCAAAGCCACTGCGGTGGGAGGCGAGCCAGGAATCACCAAGGCAGTGCTGTCCAGGATCCAGGTACCGTCCCTGTGGCTGGGCTCTGCCTCCTGCATGCAGGAGAGACCTCGAGGCTCACAGAATAGATCTTAGAGGATTGCTCAGGTCCCCTTTCCAGCAAGACCTTAACTCGAGCTCAGTATATCGCTCGTTAGCCCTGTGGTGCTAATTACCAGCCTTGCCTCCCCCGTGCCAGGTGTGTGAGAAGCCCCTGATGTACCTGGTGGACACCCCTGGCGTGCTGCCCCCCAGGCTGGGGGATGTGGAGACGGGCGTGAAGCTGGCCCTGTGTGGTGAGGTGGAGTCCTRTGGCCGGGGGGAGTCCCAAAATGTGGCCTTGGGGCCTGGTACCCGAGGCTGGGGTGAGACTGCTGCTCCCAGCCCCTCTGGGTGTGAGGGAATAGCAGWAGGGTTGGCCAGGGCTCAGCAGCACTGAGAGAAGCTGGAGCTTGACCCTCATTTCCAGGAGCCATCCATGACCACTTRGTAGGGGAGGATGTCATGGCCGACTACCTCCTGTACACCCTGAACAAGCAGCAGCAGTTTGGGTGAGCTGGTGGGCAACAAAGAGGGGGA